GCTTCCTCGCCGAGAGGTACCCATAGCGAACACGGCAGCCTTCACGTCTCAGATCAAAACGGCCGACCAATTCTACATATGATTAACCAGTAAAAAAGACGAGAATCGACCCCGGGGCCAGGGTACTGCCCTCCCTGGTTCAAACTCCCCGTTCTGTTGTCTATGTCACCTGCAGCCACTGGCCGAGCGATGGCATGTTGTCACTCATACAACTCGCTGGCTCATTGACTCACGCACGTCTTTCTCGGCGTACATCACTCCACAAACACATCTTATATCACATCAATTTTGAATTTTCACTGACACCTGCCGTGTCTCTCCCGCACCGAGACTCCTCGTGAAAACCTGCGCTCGCCGCCATAGAAAACGCCACACAACAGGGAGTGGGGAATTGACAGATGGCAGACTTCCAGCTTTTGATAAATTAAACAACGATTTACCCCTATTTTAACTCAATAAAATTACTTTTCAATACTATAAGTGATTCTTTGTATTATCACATTAATGCTTAGCTCCTACTGCATATCCTGGAACCCTTAAAAATGTATTTTCTTAACCCATGAATTCCCTAGCAGCGCCAAATTTAAATCAGAATACAACTTAAAGATTTCGAAGGTTCTAGTAGTCGTTATATTAAAACCCCGGATTTCATATTTTATATTCGAATTTCTTATATTTTCACTATTTAAATATAATGCAGATCTAACATGTTATAGAAAGTCCCCAGAGATCATGAAGCCAGATACAACAGTGTGGTTTCCTGACTCATCACTACGTGAATGTGCATTCGATGAGTCTGACGAGAACTTAAAAGCATCCACAGCCGGGGCCGCAACACTAAACTCCCAATGAGCCCAATGTACTCAATTAAAACCCAAATATTTTGATGTGGGTCCTACACATGGATTTGTACGTGCTCTTTTTAGTTTGTAGCCAATTTTAGGACTTTTTTTTACGTACGGTTAAAGGCCACATGGGTCCCAAAACACTCTCACATTGGGATTCCTAATGCTACTGGAATTAGCTAAAGTACTGGCCTCATACATTTTTCATTATCTATTTTTTTAGATTTAAATATATTTGATGATCGCAAAATTGTATGGAAAGCAGAAGAAAAATAATATTGAAAAACAATTATTTCAAACAAATACTAACCTGCGTCTACAAATTAGCGCAGAATACATGCAAAAAGCAACATTCTTAGTTCAGCTCTATTATTTATGCCTCATTAGTCCTCAAGAGGACCCATGGCATCATGGCTCCCATGAGTTTAGGAAGAAAATGATGGAGTGCCCGGGGAAACATGTTCGGTAAGGTCACAAATGTCTGTCTAATAAGAATATTTAAAATGGGTTGTCAGTAGTAAGGAAAAAATAAAATTTTATAATTTAAATGGTAAAATAATATAAACTATTTTCTATTTATCATACAGATGATACTTATCATTGTTAATAGTGATTATCAACAGATTAATGGAAAAGGCGAAGAATATGGGCTATGAGTTACGCTGTAAACAAGGAAGTATGTAATGCTTATTACCTAATTCAAGTTACATCCTAAAATAAAATAAAAAGTGGTTGACAAAATAAATGTACATGTAAAGAAATTGTGTATTTGGGAAGAAAAATTACTTGTGATGACAGATGTGGTGAAGAAATTATTTAGATTTTCAATTTCAATTTATCGTTTCACCGCGTATCAGCTACTAGTCTTTCGGCCGGTTGGTCTATCCAGTGTTAGTATAGATTAAGCAAAATCACTTAATAATCTTAAAGATATGTTAAAATTGGGGCATCATTTTAGTATGAAGGCCGTTGAAATGTTATCGCATAGGTCATAAACTTCGGCTCCTTGGATGACACTATTGGGAGATAAGAGGCTTTCAATTAATTTCGAACTGTTAAATATAACTTATACTAATATAAAAACTAAGAATGGCTGGAGAAACGAGATAAATAAAGGAAATTTACAGAAGAAAAATAAAATACTTAGGTTATGTAATTAGAGAAGATAATGCTAGTAATATTAATGGGTAATATTGAAGGTAGGAGAGCCAAGGAAAGGCAATACAATATAAGTTATATAACTGTTATGGCTTAACAAAATTAAAAGCTGGGCCCCGGAGAAATACAAAATACCGGAGGACTGGTTAAGAGAGCCCAACACGTTTTTAAGTGGTGGCCTGGTAAACGTATAACCAGCCTTCAGAACTGAGGATGACACTATGGTTACCAAAGTTTGGTGTACAGGGTAGATTTCACCGCCACAAGAGATATACATTGTCCTCAAAAGTGATGTATTGAATCCGCAGCCCTCAGGCAACACCCACTCACCACTCTTGACTCAGGTTGACTTGAACTCCATGTAAATACGCATAGCATCGACTGACTTGAATGAGCCGCTAACAGTGGCATTTCCGGAGCCGGGAACAGACGGGTTACCCTCCCCTATCTGATCTCTCGTTTATAGGAAGTCAGTGTAAGGAGTAGTAGTGCTTCATAAAGCATAACCCAAGTAGCCGAAACAATTAAACCTGAGATGACAACAATGGATGAACACAAAATTAGCACAATATGCTTTCCAAGTGAACAGAAATGAATGAATGGAATGTAAAACCAATATAGACTTTTAATACGAATTAATGAGATTCTATAAAATGGCCTACTTAAGAGATAAATAAGACAGTTCTCTACAAGTCAAACATCAGTGTTCAGTAGCAACCCAATAAAATCAAAGAACCACGAACGTACTTACTTACTGAGGCAGCTGAAGTAAAAATATTATTACAGCCGGTTTTTTGTCTTAGGTACAATGAGAAGCATGACTATTTACACGCATAATATGTAATGTGAGAAAGTTACATCATGAGCAAATGAAGTATGGGACACAGTGCAGAGTGTAGTAAAAACATAACAACAAATGTCAACACTTCAGCATTCAGTGTGAATTTATATGAATACACATATAACTATTATAATTTATGGATTACTGTACGTACATTACTTGCTCAATACTATTGTGTTACACCATACTTAATTGCAATAAGTATTGTTTTTATAGTTAGAACTTTTGTCTAAAAACAAACAATAAAGAACACGTAATGTAGTATATTTCAAAGATAGTGACGGTAAACATTTTCCTGACAAGAAGCAGTAGATAAAATGAATACTTGCTTTATCCGGCGATAAAATAAAAGAACTGCAGCACTATAATTATTGTCTTCCACACTCGAGATTTGAAGGGTTCCTTCATCCTAAATGATGACGTCATCAGTGGGCAGCGCGCAATACTACTAACCCGCCGGCGTCTTGTTCTTAAGCGCCACCCGGGACTTAACATCAACCTTTCTTATGAGCTGCTGTTCTATTTAGGATGATTTTGAGAAGCTAAGTTACCTAACATGTCACAAAGTTCATTCCCTCAATACAACGCGTCGCTAGAAATGTTGTTTATTATACTAGTGGGATTGTTAACGCGAGTAATTTTTGCTTTAAGGATAATTGCTGTTCTGATTACTATTTTTTTCAGAGCAACACCTAATAATGTAATGTTGAGTTAATTGCTAGAGTTATTTAACACCATGAAGTGTCACAATATGTGATTTTTGTTTCGTCACCACTATCTGGTCATTAAGCCATGTTAGTCACCAGTTATTCTTTATTTGATTACCAACTGTAAGTAACAATTGTGATAGCCGTGAACCCGTCAGTTGATATACAGTAGTTACAGTAAGCTTTATAGCACCCCCCCCCTCCCCCGGGTCCATCCCATTTCCATGAGCAGTACGAAGCACGTGCAAGAGACTCATGGTTAAGTTAGGTTTGTTCGAGTGATATCCCAGGCACTTTTTGAGTTAAGAAGCTGCAATTTGGACACAGAAGTGACCAAGTGCTTTGGCAAAAAAATGTTATTTAATTAAAATTTTACTCATATTTTGTTAGAAATCTCTGCAGACAGAATGGGAAAAGGAATGGCGTCCAATATATATTTCTACATGTTATAGTTACCTACTAGTTATAGTTACCTGCTACTTGTGCTGACATGCTAGTTATGATGTCCTACTAGTTGTGGTGACCTGCTACTTGTGCTGACATACTAGTTATGGTGACCTGCTACTTGTGCTGACATACTAGTTATGATGACCTACTAGATATTGCAACCTAATACAGTAGCAGTGACTTGTTATGTTAGTTGTGCTGACCTAGTTCGGCAAATATTTTTTTACAATTAGTTATAGGATTTAGCAGTGTTGTATTTAGTTGGTGTGTTCAATATTTCCTTGTACTGTATTACATACTACCTACCTTAACAATACGGTCCCACGTTAACTACCAGTAAAGACACTCAGTAGTTAACAAGTTTGAAGGGAAGTTAGCGGGAGTGGAGAGCGAATCAAGGCTCCGCCTGTTTGTATTATAAGAACTATGGTGTTGGTAGACTGTGGTATGGTACTGAGCAACTTATTGGATGATAAATATGTACTTGTATTCGTAATTTGTGTTGATATGTCAAAGCAGATCTAGACATTTAAGAAAGGGGGATTGGTGTATGGTGACTGTTGAATTATTCTAGGTATACTGCATTGTACAATTAACAATTAGTTAATAATTAAAAAAAATCATAGGCATTGAAAATTTTTAAACGCATAAATTTGTCATTATTGCATACACGTAACATGATGAAAAAATAATTTCAGAGTAATTAGGACCTATTGACAAATGTCGTCTGCTTCCACCTAATGAACCCTTTTGGAATTTAGAGGAAACTGAGCATCTAAAGTTTATCTCATACCCAAATTGTACCCCATTCTAATTAATATGTATCGGTTTTCTGAATAATGGTATTCAATTATAATATATTCATAATATATGCAAAGAGAAAAAATATTACTTGATTCTTTTTTAAGGGGAAGCTTTGTTTTGACTGAGGAACCTGTTTGTTTTGATCGAGGGAGAGACAGCAAAAGAGTGAACGACTCAACACGAGAGTTGGCATGCCATGGATAGTCCCCGCTGCCAGGTACACCACACACACAATTTACACCAGTTTGATGAGATGTAGTGGGATTTCCACGCTGAATGTCCTCCCAGGGAGTGATAGCTGTGCCTTGGTGCCACTTTGTAAAAAACACTAACCTGCTGTGACCCCAAAATTGTATGTTGGTAATTACCGTCAGTGAAGAGGGGGTTTTGACAGTACCTGCTGGGGAGACTATTCTTAGCTGTGGTCATTTTTCTTCACCTAGCATTTTAAACCGTTTTTCATAAGTTACCATGAAGAATAAATTGGGATTTGAGGTGCATAATAATGTACAGTATCTCCACTAATCAGGTAAGTTCTCTAATTCTATAATTACTGTACAAGACTCTTGGTTCTCTCAAAAGGTCTCCTTTTGCATGTCTCCTAATGTTATCACACTGGTTTCACTTACCTCTGGTGGATATTTGAAGTCATTTAATTTTTTTAACAAACTACAGAGAGAAAGTTACATTTACAGAGTTTTGAGGATAACTGTATTTGTTTTCCTAAAACATTTTTGGGTTGAAAATGTTATATAATTAAGACGTTTGTTAAATATCTTTTAATAATTAAAGTATCGTACCATACTATACAGTAATCGACTATTTGAGGTTAATTCTCTTCAAAATCCCATTTTGATTGACAATTTTAACCATATTATTATTATTATTATTATTATTATTATTATTATTATTATTATTATTATTATTATACAGTACTTACAAAGTGATTATTTTACAATGAACCAGTGGTTCAACATGCTGACAATTAATACAGATGCACAAGTTTGCTGTAAACTAACTTAACTATAGATTGTGAGATTAGTTCATTTACTGTACTGTAGTTTGATTTTACAAGAATATTGGAGGGAAAATAGTTTGTTGGTATTTCATGGCTGGTACAGTACATGTACATGGCAAAATATCACTAATCCTGTTATGGTAATGGTGGAGCAGATGGTCAGCATCAGAAGGGCTTTATGGAATTGCACCAAATTTTGGTAAATTTTTACAAGTGAACTCTCAGCTGTTTTAAGATTTTTAACACATGCAATAGATATATCTCATCATTCTGAGTAACTTTCATTCTACAGTATACACTTGTCACAAATTAATAATAATGAACCTAATAGAACTTGACCTAACCAAACAAAGAAACTTACCTAACTTCCTAGTATACGTACTTATTTTGTTATGTGGTACCAATGAAGACAAATTTGTTGAAGGGTCATGGCATAATTTTACATTTTTGTGGATGTGAGAGCATGCTCGGACCAAGCGAGTTGGTTTGAAACAAACAGACGACACGCAGTGACAGCAGATTTTTTTGGAGGAGTGTTTACGGTAAATAATATATATTTTTTAAATATCTCGCTTTCATGTAATTTGCAATAGAAGTGCTGTAAGGAAAAGTGGTAGAGGTGGGTGAAATCTACCTATAGCAACTATTTATTTGCAAGCATCTTTCAAGAGGATACACCCCATTTCATCACCAACCTGATTCGTCACCAAAAAACACATTTTGTCACCAATATCAAATCTGTTTCGTCACTGGTATAAGAGTGACAAATTTTAAGTTATAATTTTACATGAATAGAAATTACACATGTATACAGACGACTCGAGAATTATTGTTTTATTATTAAACATGAATATTAATTATTAAAGAAAATTATTAAACGTTGGTAAATAAACAAAATACAGAAAAAATGAAGGTGATTTCTTCTTCTTTTTCATTGATTTGCAATTACAACTAGTTGCTGAGCACAAGCTAAAATCGTACACAAGAAATCGAAATCATGACAAACAAGTCTGTCGCTGGAAGCTGTGGGATGAATGTGAAGAAAAAAATATCACTACGTACTTCTAATTTCATAAAAAAAATGTCAGTGTCTTCTTCCAAGCTTGCACAAGTAAGAACAATGTTTTTTTATTGCATGAGTAATAACGTTTTTATTTTTTATTTTCGTCTTTAATAAATTGTCTTAGTGAAATGCTTGCATGATCCAACGTACAGTATTGTTATGCCGAGGCATAATTTCGTAATACAATTTTGTAAACTAGGTGTTTTGATTATTTTCTATCCTAAGCAAGTTATTTTGGCAAATTTAGTGAAATTTTTGTGTATATATTGATGTATTAATTATGTAAGAATTTTCTGTTATGTAATGCCCTTGAAATGGTGAAGGGAATGAACGTGGTGACAAAACGGGTAAAAACAGTGAAGAAATGGGTAAAAAATGTGGTGTCGAAATGGGCACACCCCTTTCAAAAGTCCACTTGTAAAATAATACCCAAAATTTTCTGATGTTGTTTGGATGATACAGTACTAAGTAATAAAATCGAAGCGACAATGTACAGAACTTATTAGAACCTTACTTTACCAAACCTAACCTCTGCATTGTCATTTTGATGTTCTTTCTTTCATCCAAACAACATCTCTAGAAAAATGAACGAATTCAATCAGATATAAATTGTAATAAACACGCCTGATGAGATCGCCATTCATTTTTTGACATGTAAACAAAGACCACGGATGCTCTCATGTAGCAGATGATGTGAACTAAAATATGGTCACCATGGGAGATGCGATGGCACCATAAATACAGTAAATAATTTATTTTTTCACCTACAAAAGACATGGAGACATGAAATTACTGCCATATGATCAGTGTTCGTAGTGAAATTGCTTTTATTGTACACATATTTATAAATTAATGTGAGAAAAATTTATTTTATAATTGTGGATATATGAAAGTACAGTACTGTATGTAGATGTAAGTAACTCAAATAGGGCCAAAATATGGTTTTGGTTATACTCTTGATGTTCTTTCAGGTGACGATAGTATAATGGTGTGGTCCCATGACGGGGGGTTGTTGCTCCTGTTGTACGTGGGTACGGGAAGTAATTAGATGCGACGAGAACCAGGTTGGCATCGTCATGACTCCGGACATCTACCACGAGAAACAAGTGAGACAGCTCTTCATTCTCAGATGTTTTAAACGAAGAAACATAATTTAAAAAATGATACAACACTTATAATAACTGTCTATGTACTCTTTGTTTTCATTCAGGTAGAAATAGGAAGGGTACAGATGAACAATCTAAGATGTCTGGAAAATGTCATACAGTACTGCAACTAAAAGTAGGTGCCATAGGTCTGATATTTAGTTACGAGCAGTGGGGATACAACATACAGAATACTAATCCTTCACCAAACTGGGAGGAAGTGTTTCCAGGGCTACACTCAACCAATATTTACAGCTGGATAGCTGTAAATAGTTAAGTGAATGAAAAGAGAAAATATTGCTTAAAAATATTAGCAATGGAACCCCAGAGGTAAAATACCCCTTGGCAGGCCTAGAAGAAATGGAACATTGGAAGTGCTTACAAAATCCAGCCTGACATGTCTGGAAGAACTTAGGAGTGGGAATTTTGAAGATATCCCATTTCCAATTGCACTTGACCCCACCTGGGAGAAGAAGAAACATTTTAAGGTCTTGAAAAATGTTGGCTAAATACTGTATCAACATACTACAGGAATTACTTGGAACAAATCACGGTAGGGAAAAAAGAGCAAATCTCACTTATATATTAACTGAATGAGCAAAAATTAATATTTTCACTTGACATGATTTTAAGTTGACTGGTTTAATTTTTTTAAATTTTTGTTTCTTATTCAAACCTTCTCAGTTGTGGATGGAAGAGGGTTAATAGGTTACTAGCAGTTATAGATACTGCACATGATGTTTCATAAACTCTGTTGTTAGTTATGGACTCTCATTTATAGTTACAATTTCTTTTCTTTTCAGATTAAGGAGTTATGTGCCCTTCACTCACTGAACAACCTTTTCCAAGATAGTGGGGCTTTTGCCAAGAGTGAATTAGACGGCATCTGTTATGCATTGTCCCCAGACAACTGGTTTAATCCACACAAATCCCTTCTTGGCACTGGGAATTATGACATTAATGTAATAATGGCAGCCCTTGTTACAAAAGGCTGTGGTGTAATTTGGTTTGATAAGAGAAAGTAAGTTAAATTCAGTAATCCTCACTGATGTTCAAGGTTTGGCATGAAAATGTCTTGAACCTCAATTATCTGAAGATCAAAAATTAATTGTAAACCGCAAGATATGACTATTTTAACAAAAAATATGTACCGGTAATTACATTTCAGGGTTAGAAAACTCGTGGATACTGTAATACAGTAGTGATAATGAAATCCATTCCATCATATCTCTTTTCAACCTCAGTTACAATGCATGGTCATTTTTTGTGTTACCTTTACTCTAGACACATTCCTTATACCTAGGCCAGCATTGGTCCTTGCATTTCTTGACTATGGAACTCCCTTCCCTCACACATCTTTCCTTCATCCTCCAGCCCTTTCAATATAGGGCATAAATCCATTTTTTTTAATAAACAATTAAACATACAGTATACTACAATATTTTCATCCTTCTTATCCATGGTGTACCAGGTAAACCTGATTTGAAGAGGTTACTAGATCCATATCATTGCCAGTTCATCACTGTAAAAATGTATGATTCACTCTTAACCCTTAGGCCCGGGTGACGTTAAACTTCTGACCAGCGCGCCCTGGGTGACGTTCCAGAGCGTCCTCGTACTCCCGCTGGTTTTTTATTTATTTTTATTATTATTTTATAAAGGTTGATTTTTTCTCAATTTATCCCGGGGGGGGGGGGGGTTTACTGCCACCACCACCCTAACCCGGGGCTTAAGGGTTAAGAAATATGCAATATAGCCTATATGTGTCAAGGTAAGGGTATGAATACAGTATGTCTACAGTATTGGCAACTGGAGATTAGCCGAAGTTGATGTGTTATCATACAATGATTTATGTGGTGGATGGTCCTGAGAATTTGGTTGACTTCTCTCAGTACCTATGATGTTACTTTGTAGTTCTTCTTTCAATTTGCAGAATCCTTTTATTATTTATGCAAATCTACCATTGTTAAAACTTCAAGTTCTTATATAATGTACTTTCCTGCTCCTGATGTCTAATAACGGATAAATGACATGACTGGCCGGTGGAAGATGGCGGAAGTTATCATTATCATCACTGTTTGACAGCCATTTTCCACACTTGTGTGGATTAGCTATGATTACCTGATGTTCCATTTGTCATCAGGGAAATTTTAGTCAAGTTTTATGGCTGGAAGTCTTTCCTATTGCCAACCCACATTTACAGAGTCGAAACTGGACAATATATGAGGCGCCTAGAATGGGAATGGTGTTTCCCCAAAATGCCTGTTTTGAGTAAATCACATTTAAAGTTTATGTACCATGGAAAGTACTGCATGGATTTAAATGAAATTTTCCACAAGAGTTGGACCGTATAAGGGATGTTACCTGTGGAAAATTAAACCCCATATGCCACATCCCCAAACCCCCCAAAAAAAAAAAAATCACGAAACTGGGTATGTTAGTTACGTGCTCTTCCAATGGAATTTTCGACCTTGCGGCGGTGTAAGCGACACTCAGTCAGGCTTGATCATGTAGTCCCAGGTTGCTGATCTGACTTTCTGCCTCATTTACACACAATTGCAGGGCCTCAATTGTTTCTCTTAATATTAACAACACAACATACATATATTGTTTCTCACTTTTGATTTTTTTTCATTTTGTATTTCTTTATGGTTCTTTATTACTGTATTACATTTTCGCCCCCTAGGCCCCAATGTGGGACAATGACCTGTGCCTGGGTGGGCTAATCCCCGTAAAAAAAAGAAAAAAAAAAGAACAAAGGCCAGTGAACACGCCTGTGGCCATATCTCCAAATTGTGATTTTGGCTCTTATGCCTCTCCCATTGTAGGCACTTCATATGTAGGACACACACACACACTGTATATAATAACTAGATTTCTTTCAGATATAAAAAATTAAGTATTTTAATTTTCAATTAACCTTTACAGAGATCCTCAAGTCATTGCATTAGACAAAGTAGTTGGGTTCATCCTGAATGTGCCATCGGAGTACCGCCTTGGACCTGTACAACTTCCATTGCGTCGCAAACATTGGATTGCTATTCGTAATATAAGAGGAATATACTACAACTTAGATTCAAAGTTAGAAACTCCAGAAATAATTGGAAAGGTGAGTTGGGCAGCATTACTCACATAGATCATCCTATATTATTATTGGGAACAGCACCTATATCTTGAATCATACTGTTATCACAAGTTTAGCATGTGACAATATGAGGTATTAAACCTTAAATGACATGCAAGGATTCTCTGATCCATCCCCATATGTGCAAAAACTGGAACACAAGGAACATGAAACATCTATTGATGTTGGCTAACATCATTTGCCACCATTTAAGAGTTAATAAACACAATCTATGTACGTATTGCACATCAGGTTTTATTTTTTTATGCTGCCCGTTCGTGTTACATTTGATTTCCACGTGATAATTTCCCCGAAGTTGGTGCAGTGATTTTTAACTGATGTGAAATTGTATATTGACCGGCTCTTACTTAGAAGCGTTGGGTTTATGCAAGTTCAAGAAATTTTTAAAATTATGGTCACATGCAGGTATCTGAGAGACCATTTCCAATTGTTAATTTTTTTATTACAGGAACAAGAATTAACAAATTATCTTCGAGAAGAACTGAGAAACAAGGACAAGGAGTTGTTTGTGGTGGTGACGCAGGAGGTGGAGCAGACACGGGACTGGTGCCTGATCAGTACCCGTAGCTCAAGTACAAATAATGTTGGTGCAAAGGACCTCATGTCAAAGGGTAGTACAAATTCTTTAGTCAATGGTGAAGAGCCACAACCCATGGAAGCTTTTAATCCGCCCGGATTTTCTTACATAGATCAAGAACCTCCGGGGAGCGATAACTGGTCTGGTGATGATATTATGAAGACAAGTAGTCAAGAAATGTTATAATAGTCAATGAATTTTCTTGGTTTTTAAGGGATGATTATTAAAAAGAATAAAGTCTGGAGACACAATATTCAGCCAGAATCAGGATTTGGGTAAAGTCTTGAGTGTTTTTGGATGAGATGAGTTACTACCTCACTGCCATAGAATAGTCAAGATTTAAAATACTGTACTGTAATGATTTCAAATTATTTATTTAATAACTTGTGCACATGTAAATTTCATACATATGTGCAAAACACACATACTTAAGACATACTTATGTACATTGGCCACCAAAAGTCCTGTCACCTCACCTGCCTCTTCATGGAATCAGAGAATCAGAGACCTCACAGGTCTCTGATTCTCTGGATTCATTAAGAGACAGGACTTTTGTTGGAGAGTGTAAATTATGTGTATCGCATATATTTGTGCATACTCAGACATGCATAGTAAAACACACAGACATTCGGATGAAAATGTAGCCACACAGACATACAAACAAAGATTTAGATTTTCGTACATGAGAGCATTGACAGATATAAATATATTTATGCACACACAAAGATGGACAGATTTTTAATCTTGGAGATCTAATTATTAAACACATTATTAACATTCCTATTAACTATAAAATATATTACAGTTGCTATTGTGTTGATGTTTAGAGATCAGCTTTTTAAAATTTTATTATGAGTCTAGAGGAAAAGACACGTAAGTGGAGTATATAATTATTATGACTTACCGAGTGTGGTAAGCTGGGACACCAACACTCTTCCCTCCACTCGTGTATCTGTTGTATCAACAGATGGCTACTGTGATAGAGGTACTTCTAGCCAGGCATATATTATACTCACAAATGTACAAGTGATGAGCCTCAAAAATGTCTATTTGAAGACATTTATGATAACTACAGTACTTGTCACTATGTTCTTGTTTTTAATTCATGTCCACTTCCTAAATATCAAAAAAGTGGAATAGGCCTTATGTCAAAGATTTTAGAAGTATAGTAGTTTTATTATATATAAATATTTGAATAAAGTTTATAATCTTCATTGTAATTAGCCCCATTAACATGATGCACCTTGTAATCAATAGCTGGGGTTGATGTCTGTATTCAAGAGATATATGAGCTTAATATGGTTAAAAGTGTCAACCTTTGTGCATATGCTTCTTTGTCATCTAATGGTATAATTATCTGGAATCAGCTCTATTTTTTAGGAATGTACTGTAAATATTGATACTAAATTTCATGATTGTAGTTACAGTACGTATAGCATAAATGAAGACTTGGTTCCAATCCTACATTAAGCCCAGATGTCACTGAACATGACACCATATTTTCTATCTACTTGTCAATATCATTTATGCCACAGGTAGGACATACATAATCTTTTTCAGAGATTGTTAGATTACATGGAACCATTTAAAAAGGCAAAACTATGATCTCTAATTTTATAGGGTGGTAATCCTTAGCTGAGGCCAGTTAGTTTAATCTGGGGGCTTTGACTAAATGAGTGACCAGCTCTTTAAATGGTAAAATTAGCATCTTTTATGCCATCTTTAATTTTGTAGAATGGAAATATCTAACTGAGGAGGAAGAGTTAGTTTAGGGCTATGACGTAATAAGTGACCAAATTGGGGCACATGATGTTCTACCTGCTCTTCCTGGCCATGGGATTGAACACGTCTCTTGAGAGTTCAGAATGACACCAACTGAACCATGAAACTTCTGGTATTTTTCCTTGGTATTTCCTTGTGTTTTGAGTATGGGGTCTCTTCATAGCTGTATTTGTTATTTTCTGAATTTTGTATTTGTACAGTAACTCAATCGCCAATCACGGGTTTACCAATCATGGTTTTGAATATCAATGTTTTATATTTTGTACACCGTTTTACCAACGATGGTATCCAATTTTAAGTACCCACAGGTTTCCAAGGTCATCACAGGAGATATCAAGCCAAGTGTGGTGTGAATATATTTGTTGGATCAAATCCTTCAAGTGGTTCATCATGTACTACTTATTTCTCAAACAAAAGTATTTAATCTACCAAGGCCAGGTTCTGTTCCTTCTCTAACCGTTTAAATGTTCTGGAATACTTATACTAAACACTGCCTCATTCAAAATACTTAAGCTAGTGTATGGGTGATAGATATTTTATCCAAATCTTTAAAAATAAATTAATAATGCATTTTTTGGTCTATTGGTGCACAAGTTGGTTGAAAACATGTGCCAATCTTCCAAGGATGGTTTCAAACTAAAAAGGGTAAATACTAGATTTCTATACAATATTATATTAAGGTTAAATGTTTTAAATATGTTTATAAATATATATAGCAGCAATCATTAACCTCATTTCATAATGGTGATGTTACCGTTATAATTACTACAATAAACCCTCGTTGCATCTCAAGAAGGGGCCCGAGAATTATTATGAAGTAGTGAATCACAATCTATTTGTCTATACCGTATATTTCAATAGGAAATACAGAGGGCGGGACTGGAGCCCCCCAAAAGTATACCAAAAATTTCCTTTAAGATATTTATTTCACCTTACTGGACCCAGTGCCATGCACCTTGCACTCGGTCCAGGGCTGCTGTTTGGATGAAAGAAAACGGATACGACGCCATCAGATTAGTGATGTGTCTCTATCCGTCTTCATAAATTTCTACAATTTTGTTGGGGGGGGGGGGGCTAAATACCATATACAGAAGGCTCTCACCAATAACGTTTAATAGGTGCCTGAAAAACACCGTTATTAGCGAAAACGTTATTTGTGTGACTTTAAAATACATGTAAAAAGGGTTTATTGGTGCCGCCGCCACAAGAATTTCACCCATTTTTTCCCCTTGAAGCCCTCCTAACACTTTTTGTTAGCTGAAATAAAAAGAATTGTTATTCAATCATCAAAATAAAGAGTTTGAGTAATATAACACTTAGCTTGGGGGAGTTTTTGAGGTGCTTGGTGTGGTGGTTGTTCCATATCTGAGGGTCACTAACACTTGCACTGTCTTTCATTCTACAGGCTAACCATTTCACAAGAAAATGCTCTGTTATCACTAACAACCTGTTTCCATCGCCTTTATCATTCATAGCTCGCCTTGCATTTCCATCACTACCGAAATATTTTTAGCCAGCACAATACTCTTCTTGGTCTCCTCTAAGTTCCTCTTAATATTTCGCACTGTAGACTCAGGACAGTTCAATTTCCTCACTTTGAAAGTTCCCTGTCATTCAGGTGGCAAATCACTCCCTCCACCACCTCCCCTAGCCCCCACAGGCAAAAATGCAGAAGCCCTTATTGATCACCGACCCTAACAACCACTGGTTATAGTGGCGAAAATCTCACACATGGGCGCAGCGCTGTATTCCACTGAGCGAGAGTGAGAGTGAGGCGGAGTGGACAACTACGTCATCAACATGGCGGCAAACAAACGCTATCATTGATGCGCTCGGACGCTTCCCGCAAAATTTCCGTTATTTAAGAGAATCCAGACGTTATTATCGAAAATGGGTATCCCTTGTAACTTACCGTTATTGTCGAAAACGTTATTGTGGAAGTCGTTATTGGTGAGAGCCTACTGTATTAATAAAGGAAGAAATTGCCCAACTATATAAAAATAGACCGGATTTTGCACAAAATCAAACCTTAATGTTAGATGTCAATATGAGATGCACAGAAATTAAAAAGAGGTTTAACATCAATGATCCCTTTCTTAAAAATAGTCTCTTTTCTTAATCCCCAGAAAGCTCTATATCCAATGATTCCAAGAACATCATTGTCAGACTTGATTGAATTGGTACCAAGGATATTTAATGGAACCCTTCAGGAGTTAAAGGATCAGTGGCAAAGGCTATGCTAGGAGACAATAGATGATGAAACAAAAAGTTTGAATATTTAAAAATTTTAAAAGAAAGTAATGAAAATGAAAGGTGATGATAGGAACCTTAAATATGATGTAATTGAAAGATTTGCGTTGGACGTCTTGCATTGCCAACGTCTAACGCAGAAAGACTATTTTCAAAATTGAACCTTACCAAAACAAAGCGTAGAAGCTCCTTGCAAATGCAAAACGTATTGCCCTTATCACTATGGAAGAATATGCTCAGTGTAAAGGAGTCGTGTGAATATCAATATCGCGGATGTACTTCAACTGATTGATGTAATTAATAAATAAATACTGATTTTTACATATTTATATGTATTCATTAAACAACATTAATTCAATTATTGCAGGGGGGCAGATCCAGGAATATCAAAAGGGGGGTTCAAGAAGTTGTGGGTGGGTGAACATGGCAAACACAGTGCGACCACCCAGCTGGGGAGAGTTTTTTTAAATCTGCCTAATATCATGGACATTTTGAGGGCATGTGTGCTTGATATTTGGAAATATTATGAAGTTAATAGTAATTACATTTCACTATACAAAAATGCCTGAAGACATTACTGCAATACTGCCCCTGCATTGCGTTTTCTCTTTGCATTTTATTGGACGTGTGTATAGTGCTCAAAATATCGAAGTTATACCTCGTCATTTTAAAGTTTTGTACAAAGAACTACTAATTACTTTCAAGAAAACTCGATTGGATACAGACAGTCGGATGAGTGGCAGCCCTGACTTGGTCTACGTGGAGAAAGTCTTGTGAGACTTCTTGGTGCTTGGGTACTGTTACATGTGGTTGAAAATTATGGAGAGGCAAGGCAAGTGTCCATACGGTAGGGCAGTTTAGTGGATAAGAGCAAGCAAGGGACCACTAGGTGGTCCTTGCTCTCCACCTAGTGAGATACAGGGGAAACTTTTGCCTGTAGTCAGCTTATACTGGGCAGTAAAGCTCGAGTTATGACGTTAATGTGTCCTCCAATATGCGGTGTAAGGTGAATTGTCATATAGTGAATCATTAATTACCATTAAAATAAAGCAATGATAATGAGATGTGTTCCCTAGTGTGTCTTTTTCACATATTTTGGGTGGCTTCTTACCCCCCTTTTTCTGCAGAACAGTAAGATTATTGGAAAATAAAATTTATACTATACGTATACAGTACTATAATGTTTTTAGAATATAATTCAATTTGTTTTCGTGATAAAGAACTCAATTGTAAGTGGAAGCCCAGAGTATGAATGAATGCAAAAACAAATCTTCACTTTTTTTTATTAAGAATACAAAACATTCATTATTGTTTATTACTAAATGTCTATACAGGCATACCCCAATAACCCCTGAATGGGGTCCTGAATATTGCATTCATTTGCTGATTTTTATAATGCTATGGTATATTGCTTTCTTCTGTTTTGGCAGTATGTTGTCATTACTTAGGCCTGCTTCACATGAGGATTTTTGTCTCACGCGTGTTCAGATGGGCGTGTTTTTCCCACTTCAGTTCTCCTGCACCTGAGAAAAACAATCACAGGCACTTCCAGCCCCTACCAGAGATGCACCACAACTGACATGTGGGAAAAACATGCTCATCTGAAGTACTCCGTTGCCATATGAATAATTCTAGAATGCTCAATGTGTTTTTTCATGCCACGGTTTAGAAGTACACTCGTTGGATGAGCGTCTCCCATGTGTGCTTAGTGTGAATGGTTCCACTGAACTCCATTAATTTCTAAACCAACACACCCGGAAAAAATATGCTTGTATGAAGCGGGCCTTTAGGGAGCCATTTGGTTTTTCAGTCAACAAACTGGGCCAGCATACCTATTACTATACTTCTATACATCACTTCCACCTTCTTTTTCCTGAGCCACTCATTTCCTTCAAACCGTCATTTTCCTGATCTTAGTTTTCCGCTGATACTTGTTCAAATGCATTGATATCTATAAAATTATTAGCACAACTATTATTCTTCAAAAGAAGGCTCAGATTTTTTTGAGATATTCATTTTTTATATTGCAAATATTTTTGCATTTTTTAAGATAAATATTCTGTCAATAATATATCTCGCAACATATGAAAAATAAAAGTGCTTACTTTTATAGATCTTAGCTTTATCATTTCCTTGGTTTTTGTTTCATTGAATTCGGTGAATAAATGGCTGAGTAATATAACTTGGCATTTAAAGTAAACATAGTTTTGAGTAATGGCCTCCCAAAGTTTTTCATGTTTCCTACCCTTTGTACAGTTCAGTACATGTACAGTCTTGTTCAAGATTCTTCGAACACTGCTGGAGGCAGCTAGCAACTCAAGGCTGTTTGTTTACTATAGTAAGTAGTAAAAATTATGAATAAATGTAAAAGTGATCAGTGATTGGTTACGTAGTTCCCCGTTGCTTAATTTAATGGTTGGGCTTTGTTGTTTCGTATTATATTATACTATAGTAAACAAACGGCCTTGAGTTGCCAGTTGTCTCCAGCAGTGTTCGAAGAATCTTGAACAAGACTGTACATGGTTATATTTTGAATGCATTTCACATGTTTTATTTTGCTTACACCAAGAATAGTCGACAAAACCATCAGATGCTTATTTTATGTAATGGTCCTTTAAATAAAAGTACAATATAATAATAAATATGTCGAATAACACAAAAGAAAAATAAAAAAAAAGTAGAAGAAATATATACCACTGCAAAGCCAACACCCCTCACCCCAATTTAGAAGTTTGTAAGCATTCTCAAGGTTATTTACATAAACTTAAAAAAAAAATATTAGCTCTAAAAAAAAAAACTGGCCATGCATTAGCAAGAAGACATACACGGCATTTTAGGTACAGTAGGCCTAGCAGGCAGTAATGCCCATGGGACCCACTTTCACGGTCCTGCTTAACAAGTGAGGTACATTCCTGAAAAAACTTTGTTTGTTGAATTACCATTCAGCGGGTCCCAGTTTCCCCACAAGATCTCGTGTTAAAAGTTGGGATTCTTTCCAGTCAAAATAAATTTGGACCCAAAACTCCATGGTATAAATGTAGATGCATTCTAGCCCAAAGAATTTCAACCCAGCAATCACTCGCTACCACACCAGCGACCTATCACAGGGTCATGATACTAGAAGAAATGAAAGGAGGAAAGACAGAAGGGATGATATGGTGACTTTAAAAAAATGAGAATGGGAAAAATCTCATCCTTAGGATAATATGGCAATAAAGAATATGTGTGGTGCTGGGAGGGGAGCATCTTGAAGTACAGTAGTCGCTGTGATGACGAACCTATCACAAACTTATTAATGAATTCGTGTTTACCAGTGCATTCTTAAATTCATAATTTTATTGGCGTGGAAGCAGCACGAGTGAACTGCATATCGAAGATGAATGTCTGTTTAAATCACAGTGCCCTGTGGTTGTGACAGCCTGCAGGAAACATAAAAGTGCATAATTATACAGTAATATCGGCAATTTACCTCATATAATACAGGTAGCTGTACTTTACTGTACAAGGGTAATTTAATTTACCTTTAGTATATCCTAAATATTCACAAGTGCTGCACAGTAATTACAGTACATTCATTCTTTGAGCTGTTGCCAATGTATACAATGTTAATCATGCACCTTACCACCCACTGCTAGTCAGACCACAAAACTACGAGATGATCCAGTTTTTCCAAATTTTAGAAACAAAATGTGAAAGCACGAATCTAAAGGTATCTTCTTATTTTTTATCTGTATGTGCTAATTACGGTAACTTAGAGCTGAAGTTATGAAAGATGAACAGGTATGACAACAATCATCTCGGAAGCAAAACCATTTTTAATAGTAAGCACTTTGGAC